AACATTTAGGATTGTGATATCCTATTGACCAATTGGCTCATTTAACATTATGAAATGACTTTTTTATCCCCGGTGATATTGTTTGCTCTAAAATCTGCTTTGGCAGATATTAACATGGGCACTAATCTTTCTTTTGATTATTGTTAGCATGGTGTATCTTTCTCTGTCCTTTTAATGTGTATATGTCTTATATTTAAATTGTGATTCTCGTAAAGAGCATATATTTGGGTCTTTTTAAATCCAACCTGAAAATCTCTGCCTTTTAATGGGGGGTTTTGATCATTTACATTTAATGTGATTATTGATATGGTTAGGCTTAAGTCTATCATTTGCTATTTGTTTTATTTTCTGTCCTCTTCTTTGTTCCATTTTCCTCCTTTGACCTTCTTTTGAATTAATTGATCTTTACAATTTTTTTATTTTGATTTTTAAAAATGATTCTATTTTATCTCCTTTATTGGCTTATTACTAGTAATTTTTTTTGTTATTTTATTGATTGCTTTAGGGCTTATAACATGCATCTTTGAGTTATAGTCCACCTTCAAGTTATGTACTGTTTCATATATAGTACCTTATAAGAGTATACTTCTATCTCTTCCATCTCTGCCTGTACGCTATTGTTGCGCATTTTATATGTTGTAAACCTCACACTATATTGCTACTGTGTTTAAACGGCTGATTATATTAATAGCTTTTAAAGATTTAGTTTTTAAAAACCCCAAATATATACATTTATTCCTATAGTTACCATTTCTAGTTCTCTTCATTTCTTTTTTTTTTTTTTTTTTTTGGGACGGAGTCTTGCTCTGTCGCCCAGGCTGGAGTGCAGTGGCCGGATCTCAGCTCACTGCAAGCTCCACCTTCTGGTTTTACGCCATTCTCCGGCCTCAGCCTCCCCAGTAGCTGGGACTACAGGCGCCCGCCACCTCGCCCGGCTAGTTTTTTGTATTTTTTAGTAGAGACGGGGTTTCACCGTGTTCGCCAGGATGGTCTCGATCTCCTGACCTCGTGATCCACCCGTCTCGGCCTCCCAAAGTGCTGGGATTCCAGGCTTGAGCCACCGCGCCCGGCCTCATTTCTTTTTATAAATCCATCCAGTGTCATTTCCTTCTGCCTGAAAGGGCCTCATTTAACGTTTATTGTAGTGCAGGTCAGCTGGACTGAATCATTTCAGTTTTTGTATGTCTGTAAAAGTTTTAATTTTGCCTTTGGTTTTTAAAAGACAACTTTATCGAGACACAGTTTGCATATCATACAATTCACTAATTTAAGATGTACAATGCAGTTATTTTTAGTAAATTTGCCAAGTTTTGGAGTAATCACAACCATCCATTTCTAGAACATTTCTATCACAACATTAAGATCCCTCATGCCCATTTACAGTTAATCCTTCTTCCCACCCCCAGCCCAAGGCAACCACTAATCCATGTTGTCTCCAAATGCCTTTTCTGAATATCTCATACAACTGGAATAATACATGCTTGCAACACATGTACTAAAATTGGAAGGGTACAGAGAAGATTAGCATAAAAACCAAGAAAAATTTTAAAAGGGAAAAAAATAAATGGAATCATACAATAAGTGTTTTTTTGGTTCTTGGTTTTTTTATTTTGAGATGGAACTTCACTCTTGTTGCCCAGGGTGGAATGCAGTAGTGCGATCTCGGCTCACTGCAACCTCCGCCTCCCGAGTTCAAGCGATTCTCCTGCCTCAGCCTCTCAAGTAGTTGGGACTACAGGTGTGCGCCACTATGCCCTGCTAGTTTTTTTTATATTTTTAATAGAGAGAAGATTTCACCATGTTGGTCAGGCTAGTCTTGAACTTCTGACCTCAGGTGATCCACCCGTCTCAGCATCCCAAAGTGCTGGGGTTACAGGCGTGAGCCGCTGCGCCTGGCCAATAAGTGGTCTTTTTTGTCAGGTGTATTTTACATAGCATAATGTTTTTGAGGTTTATCTGTGTATTATGTATCAGTATTTCTCCCCTACTCTTCAACCTCACATCCTAATTTGTATTTTTCTGTTTTTAAAACATACCCAGTTTTATTTAGGAATATATTTCTAGTAAGCCTCACCACATCATTTGTACATTGAATTAGAATATAAATTAAAAGTATGCACTTTCTTATATTTCTTTATGTGCCTGAATAATCCTGCTTACAAGACTTATAGTATAATTGGGTCCTGTTTGTTCTTGTATCCATTAGAGCCTAGTGTTAGTAGACTTTAAATTAATATAACTTGAATTGAATTGAATCATAGTCTTGTAAACTCACTTGAATCATGTTTGAATGTTGGGACACACAAACATCTAGAATAATAATACTAATTATAGTTACAAAACATGTATTTCACAATCTTTAGTGGTAAAGGCTACATGAAATGGTTTATTGGTCCTACATACAGTCTTTGTTTTGGGTTATGAAACAGTGATTCTTTTTTTTTTTTTTTTTTTTTTTTTTTTTTTTTTTGAGACGGAGTCTCGCTCTGTCGCCCAGGCTGGAGTGCAGTGGCGCGATCTCGGCTCACTGCAAGCTCCGCCTCCCGGGTTCCCGCCATTCTCCTGTCTCAGCCTCCCGAGTAGCTGGGACCACAGGCGCCGCCACCTCGCCCGGCTAATTTTTTGTGTTTTTTAGTAGAGACGGGGTTTCACCGTGTTAGCCAGGATGGTCTCAATCTCCTGACCTCGTGATCCGCCCGCCTCGGCCTCCCAAAGTGCTGGGATTACAGGCTTGAGCCACCGCGCCCGGCCGAAACAGTGATTCTTTGAAATTATGCCGACATGGTTTAAAAAAACGTGTTTCCCTAAATCTTATTCTCAATGGTTGGTATACTTATAGGAAAAGTTAAATGTGAATTAAAAACAAAAAACTTTTGGCCAGGCATGGTGATTCATGCCTATAATTTCAGTACTTTGGGAAGCCCAAGTAGGAGGATCGCTTGAAGCCAGGAATTCAAGGGCAGTTTGGGCAACATAGCAATAGCCTTTACAAAAATAAAATAAAAAATTAGCCAGGCATGGTGGTACCCACCTCTAGTCCCAGCTACTTGGGAGGCTGAAGCAGGAGTATTACTTGAGCCCAGGAGTTCCAGGCTGCGGTGAGCTATGATCACACCACTGCCCTCCAGCCTGAGTGACACAGTGAGACCCTGTCTCCGAAACAAACACACAAACAAAAAAACCTTTTTATTAATTTTATCTTTTCACATCTATTTTCAGATGTGAGAGTAGTAATTTTCTAGATAACTTGCCTTTGAAAGATAGTGGCCAGAAGACCTATTTATTTGAATTCTGCAGTGACCTTAGCCTTCTCTTTTACTTTTATTATTTTTGAAGAAAAAGTTTTTTTTTTTCTCGTGACTACTAGTGAGTTAATCTGTCCTGGTATTATTTTCTGTGTTACCAGATAGCAAACTGGTCTGAAAGAGCTCTGTAAATATATATTTTTAAAAACCCTCCTAAACTCAAATGAAAAAAAGATCTGTTTTATTTCCCCACATAAACTAAACCTTCTTTGGGGCTTCCCTGCTTTCTTGAAAGACAAGAAATGTGGAAGTAAAAGATAGTGGACAACCTGGAAACCAAGTCAGACTGTTGAGAAGAACTTCTGCCTAGTCATGCAAATAAAAGCCTGGCTGCTTCTCTGCCCACTCCCACCTACCAGCAGAGAAGTAGCAGTATGTGAACTCCAAACTCTAATCTGTTTAAATCTCTGCTTGGAGATCTAATAGGCATTGTAGACAAAACTCTTGATTTTCTTTTTTTTCTCACCTGAACCTGCTGCGCCTAATAGCTCAGTAAATGACAGCTGTATCCTTCTACTTCTTGGGTTGAAAAGTCATTCTACATTTGGTTAATCAGCATGTCCTGTCATTAAATGTATAAAATACAGCTGCTTCTCACCACTACTACTGCAACTATTATACTCCTTTAAACCCCATGATCTCTGCTTAGTGTAAAAGATTGAAAAACATGACTATAATAATCTGCACCGGCTGGGTGCAGTGGCTCACGCCTGTAATCCCAGCACTTTGGGAGGCCGAGGTGGGCAGATCACCTGAGGTCAGTGTCATGCACGTCCGTGCGAAAAGACCACCAAACAGGCTTTGTGTGAGCAACATGGCTGTTTATTTCACCTGGGTGCAGGCGGGGTGAGTCCGAAAAGAGAGTCAGGGAAGGGAGATAAGGGTGGGGCTGTTTTATAGGATTTGGGTGGGTAAAGGAAAATTACAGTCAAAGGGGGGTTGTTCTCTGGCGGGCAGGAGTGGGGGTAACAAGGTACTCGGTGGGAGAGGTTTTTGAGCCAGGATGAGCCAGGAAAAGGAATTTCACAAGATAATGTCGTCGCTTAAGGCAAGGACCGGCCATTTTCACTTCTTTTGTGGTGGAATGTCATCAGTTAAGGCGGGGCAGGGCATTTGCAGTTCTTTTGTGAGTCTTCGGTTACTTCAAGCCATCTGGGCATATACGTGCAAGTCACAGGGGATGCGATGGCTTGGCTTGGGCTCAGAGGCCTGACAGTCAGGAGTTCGAGACCAGCTTCACCAACGTGGCAAAACCCCATCTCTACTAAAAATACAAAAATTAGCTGGGGGTCGTGGCACACACCTGGTATCCCAGGTATTCAGGAAGCTGAGGCAGGAGAATCGCTTGAATCCGGGAGGCAGAGGTTGCAGTGAGCTGGGATCGTGTCACTGCACTCTAGCCTGGGCGACAGAGTGAGACTCTGTCTCAAAACTAATAATAATAATAATAATAATAATAATAATTTGTACCATCTTCCCCCAGGAAATAGTCTGTTTACCACCCATTGAATCTGGGCTGGCCTTGTACTTGCTTTGGCCAGTAGAATGTGGTAGATGTGTGAGTGTACCCTCTGTAAAAGAGTGTACCCTCTGTAAAATAAGTACTTCCTCTTTTACTATTTCCTCACCCTGCATTTTTTCCCCCTCATTGCACCTATTATTACTTGACATACAGTTATTTTTGTTTCTCTTCAGAGTCTTATATTCACTGCTGTCTTTCCAGAACCTAATACTTCTCGAACCCAGGCCTCAAGACAGCATACATCTTCTGCCTTAGCTCTTTCGGGACATTCTGGTCATCATGTAAGGGAGTCCAGACTGGACTGCTGAGTGAGAGACCACATGGAGAAGAGGCCTAGCCAAGAGAAGCCAAAACCCCTAATGTGTGAACAAGACCATTTTAGACTCCCACCCCATTCGAGCTGCCTGATGACTGCTGTTAGTAGAAAAACGTTCCAGCTGATCAGAGCCCAAACTGCTGACCCACACAATTGCAGGAAATAATAAACAGTGGTTGTTTCAAGTAACTAAGTTTTAGGGTGGCTTGTTAATGCCACATTATCACTTATATTGTTGTAGTATCCTTGTAAACCTGTCTTCCTCTACACCCCCCCCTTTATTCCATATGTTCTCCAGGAAGCAGTCAGAATGATCTTTTTCAGATTAATATCAGTTTGTTACTCCTGTTTTCAGGACCTTGACTGGCTTCCTCTCTTGTTCAGCAAGATATCTAAAAGCCTTAGCACGGCCTTTAAGGCATTATGGACTCATTACTTCATTACGTCGCTGACATAATTTCCTTTCCACTCTTCCTCTAATTTTATCTCTAACTTAAGAAATCTATTTTCTATAGACAGAAGTTTGGGAGGGTGTGTTGTCTAAGGGGGGGAGCTCTCCACATCATCACCATGTGGGATTTTAAGATTAATACCTGACACTATTCCTGTAAGCATATAAGCAACACATTTAGATACTGCTTAGATATGTAGAACATATACTTGAACAGATGGGCATTACACTTAAATAACTGATATAATAAAAAATAAAGGTGACTAGTTTTACGGAGAATAGATTCACTTAAATAGAGATGCATAGGTCTTTAAAAATTAAAAAAAAAGTTTGGTTTTAAAACATCTCTATTTTGGCTTTCCCAGTGCTTCATTTTACTGACTATTGTGAACTTTGAACCACTCATTGGAATCATAGGAAGAGTTAATTTTTATGGATGTACTAATTGAACAGCATATAAAAACAAACACAAACTTATTAAATGTGAAGTCTTCTGGGAAGCTTTTAAAACTAATTGCATGAAGAGGATATCCTCAGCGTCTGAAGGAAATAATACCAAATACACCAAAATATTAACAGTGTATGTTGCTGGGTGAGGGATTATACTGATTTTTTCCTTATGCAATGCACAGGCTCTTAATAGACTTTCGTATTTTCTCCTTCCAGCATATTCTTCCCTTATCCCCTAAAGAGCTAATGAATCTGCTAAAAAAAAACACAAGTCATGATTATTACTCCTCTGCTCAGCACCCTCCGATGGCTTTCCACTTTGCTTAAAATGAAATTCAAAGTTGAAAATACATAAGGCTCTAGATGCTCTGGCCTGCCACTGCTTCTGACCTAATTTCTTCCTTTGCTCATTCTGCTTCAGCCAACAGGCCAGCTTTCTTTTCATCTGTCAGGCCACCTGAGGACCCTTGAGCTTCCTGTTCCTTCTGCCTGGAATGCTCTCCTCCCAGATTTCCACATGGCTAGCTCTCACTTCATCTAGATGGCTGTTCAGATAGTCATGCCTATCAGAGAGGCATTCCTGACTACCCTCTGTAAAAGAAGTACTTCCTGTTTTACTGTCTCCTCACCCTGAATTTTTCCCCCCTCATAGTGCCTGTTATTACTTGACATACAGTTGTTTTTGTTTCTCTCCAGAGTTGTATATTCACTGCTGTCTTCCCAGAACCTGAAGTAGGGTCTGGTATAATATGTTCTCAATAGATGTTTGCTGAGTGAGTGAATTGATTGTGTAGCTGCCAGGTCCCATGCTAGTAGAAGAGGGAGAATTGGAATGTTTTCATATAGTAGACAACTTGCAGTTATTGATAATTAGTATTATTGGTCATCTTAAAGTTGCCTCCGGATTTCAGGCAGCCTGTTCATTAGGCAGATGAGGAAACTGTCTTGAATTGTCAGGAGGAAATGTTAATTATAATAGCTATTATTATTTACTGTATGCCCACTGTGTGTCTGACATGTAGTCTAAGGCACTTCACTTATGTTAGGTCTTTTTAAATTCTAACTCTATTGGAGAGAGATTATTAGCATTGTTTTATGGATTAAAAACAAAGACTTATAGGTTAAAGGTCTCTTTTGAGGCCATACAATTGATACATAAAACTAAAGCTCAAATCTGTGTAACTCTATAAGTTTTGTCCTTTTCATTATATATTTGTCCATTAAAATATTTAATAATTTATAAGCTCTATTTGCAGGCCTTTCATTATATTTGTTATAACTAGTCAAATCTTGTGTTTGGGGCATGTAATGCAAATAAAACAAAACCTCTCCCATATATATAAAACATATATGTAAAGTGTGTGTGTGTGTGTGTGTGTGTGTGTGTGTGTATGTGTTTTGAGACAGCGTCTCACTCTGTCACCAGGCTGGAGTGCAGTGGCGTAATCTGAGCTCCCTGAAACCCCTGCCTCCCAGGTTCAAGCAATTCTCCTGCCTCAGCCTCCCAAGTAGCTGGGACTACAGGCACCTGCCACCACACCTGGCTAATGTTTGTATTTTTAGTAGAGATGGGGTCTCACCAAGTTGGCCAGGCTGACTCCTGACCTCAAGTGGTTCTCCTGCCTTGGCCTCCCAAAGTGCAGGAATTACAGATGTGAACCACTGCACACAGCCAAAATTATAGAACACAGACTAATTATAACATGATGTTATCTATAACTATATATGGAAGTTCTAGAAAAATGAGAGTTGGCAGATAATATTTTAAATCCTTCTGAACAATATTGAAGGACCCCAGGAAATAGTAATAATTATCCTTACTATTCATGCATTTAATGCGCTAAGTAATTAAGTGGTCTGTCTATATCTTTTGATCTTTACAGTAATTCTACAAAGGAGATGCATGTTTTTCTTCAGTTTATAACTTGAGAAGTTGACTTAGTTCCTCAATTCAGACCTTTTCACATATCCTTCTAAAACCCGTACAGATTAGTAAGGGCAAGTAAAATCAACTATATAACCTGGGCCTATGGCATAACTAGGACAGAGAATTTTTTAAACTGCAGTTTATATGTGAGTGGGGAAACAGTCACCTAAGAATAGCTAGATGAACTCTGGTGACGGTATCAGAACTAAGAGTCAGGGACTCTGCGGAGGATACCAGGCTCTCTGTTCATCCTCAGAAGACGAGAACCCTGTCCCGAGCGGGAAATACTGGAAACAGGTTTGAAACCTGGTAGATCAGAGCGCGGCAACTGAGAATGCGAAAGAAAGGCACTTGGAAAAGTGTTTATGACTTGAAATGTCAGCCTTAGAAAAAAAACACTTCTAGGGGAGAAGGTAGCACCTTGGAAGTTGAAAGTGTCCCATGAAGTATTAATGTTTAATAGTAAAGAGAAAGAAGGAAATAGCTGGAAGGACACAGCTGAAACAAGAGTATCAAAGCAATGGAGGATAAATAAATGCACTATCCATCTAGCAAATAAACTGTACTTCACTGAAGCAACAGAAGAAGGCACTGGTAGAAATAAGAAATTAAGCAAGCCCTTTTGCCACAGAGGGTTTCTTGCTGTGAATGGTCCATGAAAATCAGCGTAACTCGGCACGAACGATAATTAAAAAACAACATCCATGTAGATTTCTCTGATTCAAAAAATGAGAATCAGTGCTTTTCAGTAGATGGAAATACATTAAAAGGCAACAAAGGAGAACTAATTGAGCATCCAGACATAAATTAAATATAAATAAATATCTGCTGAATAAAAGAAACTCCAAAGTTTTTTTTTTTTTTTTGAGATGGAGTCTTGCTCTGTTGCCTAGGCTGGAGTCCAGTAGTATGATCTCGGCTCACTGTAACCTTCGCCTCCCAGGTTCAAGCAGTTCTTGTGCCTCAGCCTCCTAAGTAACTGGGATTACAAGCGCACGCCACCACACCCAGCTAATTTTGGTATTTTTAGTAGAGACAGGGTTTCACCATGTTGGCCGGGCTGGTCTTGAACTTCTGACCCCAAGTGATCCACCCGCCTTGGCCTCCCAAAGTGCTGGGATTACAGGTGACGTCAAAAGTTTTTAAAACTCAATGAAAACAGTCAAAGAGCAGGAAGATTTGAAATAAGAGCTGTTCAAACTCAGGAAAGAAATGGAAAATAAGACAATATCAGAAATGAAGATTAAACTACAAGATGCCCAAAGGTGAACAGATATGACTGAAGATACAGTGAAGGTATAGAGGATAGAAATGGAAAAAGCTAAGAACCTGTACTCAAGATAAAGGGAAAGGTAAAAGGATTGGAGGAAAAAATGATGGATATACAAAATAGGCTAAGATTCATTATTATAATCCACCATATTAATACATCTTGTAAGAAAAATCATTTCCGTATATACCAAAAAAGTATTTGAAAAGTCCAACACATCCATTCTTGATTGATAATAAAATAGGGGTACATAGCGTAAACAACATAAACAAAATTTATGTACACACAAAATGCCTGATAAAATTCCACTATAAAACCAGGAATAATGATGCCTATTATGTCTACTACTTGGTAACATTGTATTGACGGAATTAATTACTACTTTCATTCAAGAGAAAATAATCAGGAGTGTGAGACTTTGGAAAAGGGAAAACTATTTCTGTGCGCAGTGTATCTGATGGTGTATGTTGAAAAGCCAAGAGAATAACAACAGAAAACCTAGACAAAAAGAACTGAGTAAAATGGCAGAATAAGGGCTGGGCGCGGTGGCTCACGCCTGTAATCCCAGTACTTTGGGAGGCCGAGGTGGGCAGATCACGAGGTCAGGAGTTCAAGACCACCCTGGCCAACATGGTGAAATCCCATCTCTACTACAAATACATAAGTTAGCCGGGCATGGTGGCGCGTGCCTATAGTCCCAGCTACTTGGGAGGCTAAGGCAGGAGAATTGCTTGAACCCAAGAGGCGGAGGTTGCAGTGAACGAAGACTGTGCCACTGCACTCCAGCCTGGGCAACAGAGTGAGACTCCATCTCAAAAAAAAAAAAAAAAAAAAAAGGCAGAATAAAATAGCAAACAAAACCCAATACTTTTTATATATACAATAATTTAGCTTGAAAATATAGTGGAAGAGGGCTGGGTGCGGTGGCTCATGCCTGTAATCCCAGCACTTTGGGAAACTAAGGTGGGCAGATCACGAGGTCAGGAGATCAAGACCATCCTGGCTAACACAGTGAAACCCTGTCTCTACTAAAAATGCAAAAAAAAAAAAAAATTGCCGGGCGCGGTGGCTCACGCCTGTAATCCCAGCACTTTGGGAGGCCGAGGCGGGCGGATCACAAGGTCAGGAGATCGAGACCACGGTGAAACCCCGTCTCTACTAAAAATACAAAAAATTAGCCGGGCGCGGTTGTGGGCGCCTGTAGTCCCAGCTACTCGGGAGGCTGAGGCAGGAGAATGGCGTGAACCCGGGAGGCGGAGCTTGCAGTGAGCCGAGATCGCGCCACTGCACTCCAGCCTGGGAGACAGAGCGAGACTCCGTCTCAAAAAAAAAAAAAAAAAAAAAAAAAAAAAAAAAAAATTAGCTGGGTGTGGTGGCGGCGCCTGTAGTCCCAGCTACTTTGGGAGGCTGAGGCAAGAGAATGGCGTGAACTCAGGAGGCGGAGCTTGCAGTGAGTGGAGATAGCGCCACTGCACTCCAGCCTGGGCAACAGTGGGAGATTCCGTCTCAAAAAAAAAAAGAGAAGATACAGTGGAAGAGAACTGTCCATATCCGGTAACATTAAAAAGAGAAAATACCTTAGAAAAAAACAAGAAAAATGTCAAACTCACAAGAGGAAAACATTCTTAAAAGACCCAAAATGTGACTTGAACAAATGAAAAGACATTTCATACTTGATGTTCATAGACAGAATAATTCAACATTACAAAGATGCCAGTTCTCCCCCAATTAATGTATAAATGAATTCTAATCCCAGTAAACTGTTTTTTTTTTCCCCCCTGGTGCTAGACAAATTGACACCAGAGGTCTTGTGGAAAAATAAGAGAGAATAAGCAACCAGGAAATCTCTGAAAAATAAGAGCA